TTCTACAAAGATACCAATCGAAAACTATAAGATTAATTACAAACGCGCCTTGGTTCATAACAAATAAAGCCATTCATTCAGACCTGAATATCTCATGGGCGATCAAAAATATTAGTCAAATTATGGTTTTGTTATCAAATTTGTTTATTATTTACTAAAATAGATTTCAAATAAAATGTATTTAACAAAAAAAAAAAAAAAAATTTCTTCAATGGAATATTAACGGATACATTAATAACTACTTTGAGCATGAAATTTTAATTAAAAAATATAACCCGTCTGTAATATTATTAAACGAAWCACATATTGCAAACAATATATCAGCTCATACTCCAAAAGCCTATGCTGGTCACTTTTATAACCTTACTTCAACAAGCAAACAAGGTATTGCAATCCTGATTAAGAGAAGTATACCGCATAATATTCTCCCAATATCTCCTTCGAATATCTCTTCCGTTGCCATCGAAATTTCCTCTCCCCAAAAAATCATAATCATCTGTGCATATTCCCCTCCTCACCAAACTTTTACTTCAGCAGACTTCTTTAACCTTTTCCCTTCTGGCTCGATTCCTTTTTTATTGGCTTGTGACTTCAATGCCTAATGCCCTCTTTGGGGTTCTTCTTCAACTAACTCCAGGGGCCGCATTATTGAGGATGCTGTCCTCTGTTCGGACTGCGTTGTCCTTAATGATGGTTCCCCTACCCATTTCTCCACTCATTCCACCTTCACCCATATAGATCTTACAATTTGTTCGACTTCACTCTTTCCCAAAGTTGTTTGGCATTGTATAGATAATTTGCATGGTAGCGATCATTTTCCTATCATAGCCAAAATCTCCTCCCATAATTCCAATTTTGTTCAAACCCAGAATATTTTTTAACACTGATTCAGCTGATTGGCCCAAATTTCAAGATTTACGTTACTCAGACAAACTCCCTTCTGCAGATATTATTAATCAGGAAACTTCTAGGTTTCAGAAGATTATAAGATCTGCTGCTAATCAATTTATATCACAAACCTCTCCTAAACCTCGTAATCGTAAGGGTTATCCTCCTTGGTGGGATAGTGAGCTATCTTCTCTTAGACTGCATAATCAACAAACATGGCATCATGTCAAACAAAATCGTTCGTCATCAAACCTTATTGCTCATAAAAAAGCGAATGCCATTTTCAGAAGAAAAGCGAAGCAGGCAAAAGTTAAATCTTTCCAGACATTTACCAGCAGCATTAATTCCTCTTCTGACCCTAAAAGTATTTGTTCAAATATAAGAAGACTATCTGGCAATATTTCTTTCTCTCCTATTCTCTCACTCAACTCCTCTCAAGGCAATCTATTATATCCACAGGATATAGCTTTAGAATTCGCCAAATTTTTCTCGACATTCCCCTTCAGCCGAATATCTCGACTCAGAATATATCTTTAATAGAACTCAATATAGCTCTTTCTGCGGTTAAAGGTAAAACGTCAGGGTTAGATAAAGTTTCCTATCCCATCATCAAACATCTTCCTTCTCATCTCCTCAAGCGACTTATCAACCAATACAACAATATTTATCGAACTGCCACCATACCCCAAATCTGGAAAACCAGTGCAATCATTCCTATTCTAAAACCTGGCAAACCTCCGTGCGAAGTTACCAGCTATCGTCCTATTTCCCTTCTACCCTGTCTAGGAAAACTTTTGGAAAAAATTGTTGTCACTAGACTCTCTTGGTTTCTCCATTTCAAAAAACTCATTCATTCAAATCAGGTAGCATTCAAAAAAGGACAAAGCACTATCGACGCTCTTCCACACCTTGACCTTTTCTTTCCCTTGATTTTGAAAAAGCGTTTGGCATACATGTAGTTTTAAGACAATTAATCAAATGGAAGGTTGGCCCCCGTATATTTAGTTTTGTTATATCCTTTCTCTCTAAACGTAAAATTAAAGTTCTTATTTCTGGCACATTTTCACCTACTCTTCCTTTGGATCACCGCTATCAGTTATTCTGTTCATCATAGCATTTGATGAAATCAGCTCTATCCTTTCTTCCTTCCCTAATATCCAGCATCAATTATTTGCTGTTGATCTCCTTCTATTTTCAAAATCTTCTGACCTTAGTTCTATATCCTCTACCTTTGAATAAATCCTTTCTCAACTATCCCTATGGTCCCTTTAAGCAGGCGCATCAATATCGTACTTAAAATCCAGTTTACTCTACATTTGTAAAAACATAATTGTCATTTTCCACCGATTTCATTCAACAATGTAAATATTTCATGTTCTCCTACACTTAAGTTTCTTGGATTAATTCTAGATAGTCAATATGCATTCAAACAACATTGTCAATATATTAGAAATAGAATTACTAAAAACTCAAATGTTGTTAAGTGCCTAGCATGCAAGTGTTCGCTCATTGGCCCATCTTTGTTAATTAATGTTGTCAAGGCACTCATACTCTCTGTCATCAATTACGTTCTTGAAATATATGGGCATCATTCAAAAAGTCACCTAAAATTTTTGGCTGCACCGTATCACTCCGCTGTTAGAAGATCGCTTCGAGCATTCCCCACGTCACCAATCAAAAATTTATTAGCAGAGTCCGGTCTCCCTTCTCTGATAGACAATATGGAAGACACCACATACAAATTATACCCGAAGATCATGCTTGGTTCTAACCTTGTGCCTCAAGATGCCTTTTCTTCATCATCCCTCGTCTCCGAACTCCAAAAATTGAGTCAGCTACATATGTATAAATGCACCATTTTCGCCAAGACAAACAGGTTGTCATTAAAACCTGCTAAACTTCCTAAACGTCGTCATCCACAATGGTTGATTCCAAAAAACACGTTTATTGATAAACTAATTCATTTGACTAAATCCACCACACTTAATGCGATTTATGTATCAGAATTTTGTGAAATTATGAATACTCTGAAACATGGCAGTTGGAGATTTGTATTCACGGACGGTTCAAAAAAAATCTAAACCTCTTTTGCGGTCGTTAGCGAGAAAGGAAAGCCAATTTCATATGGACTGCTTTTCCCCTTTTGTTCGATAGTCATTGCTGAAGCCACTGCGATTTTCCGTGCTGTTCTACATGCCACAAAAAGCCCGGGAAAATATGTAATATGCACCGACAGCTTATCATGTTTCCAAGCCATTCAAAATTGCAACAACCACACTAACTTCATCATCTCAATTAGAGAATATATTATTATATATGAAAATAAAATTAAGATAATGTGGGTTCCAAGCCACACTGGATTATCCGGAAATAATTACGCTGATGTATTAGCAAAGAATGCATCCAACACGCCCACAATTACATTCAGTTTCTTTATGAAATCTGATATATTCCGATTCATACACCAAAATATGCTCCCTAAATTGGCACTTGATTGGGTCTCATATAACCACCATTATTCAATAGTTAACACAGCCAGAATCAAACCGCTATTCCCATCCACAGTTGCAACTAATTTTATAACACCATACATTCGCCTACGGATTGGACATACTATACTGACGCATGCTCACCTCCTCGGAAGAAACGGTACCAACTGCTGTCCGTTTTGTAAACCAATAACAACTGTGCTTCATATATTAGAATTTTGTCCAACACTGAAAGATAAGAGAGATTGCCACTTCAACACAGATCCGATTTCCCTTCTTTCCAACGCTACGGAAGAAAATATAAAAACCATCTATTGTTTTCTTAAAGAATAGGAGGAAAGGAGAATTTAAGCCAACACATTTATTCAACGGACAGCTGATAGCCTCTGAAGCTAGCACTGCATGTTTTAGGTTGTACATATATTATTAACATTGTATAAGCTTTTATAAATAAATAAATAAAAATAAAAAAATCGGGCAATTGCTTCCCTAAGGTACAATATCAATGAATTCATATATTCATTTTTTTKTTTTTTTTTTCAAAACTTAATAATTAAGACATTTCGTATTTTATTCTTATGTAACAATAAAATAACTTGATTTCTTAACTTTCATTTCAAATATGTGTGCGATTATCCATGCTTTGTTTCTGACAGCAAAATCGGTAAAAAAAAAATTGGTTTCCGTGACACACAAAACCGATACAAGTTCTGTTTCGAATATCAAACCAATAATGTCTGAATTAATGACACTTATTGCTTTTTTTGATCGGTTTAAATTTTGATTCCGACATCTATTAGACTCCACAACACCCCTTATTTATTTCTCAATGTGTCGTAGATATTAATTTAACTAATAAGTAACCCAAAATAACAAACATCTACGGCACAATAACGGAAAGCTGCGCGCGCATTGAAGACGTAACGCGCTATCTCACTCGCACCTATACGACTGTATATTGCCTCGCGCTCGCACCTATACCCTTGGTATAGGCACGCAATGTGTTTGTCTGGGCCAGGTAGGAACTGTCGAAACTATCTGGCATCTGAGAAAGCATCTCCTAATAGTCACCCAAATACATGTAGTTTAACTTTTATTCTTTGTCTGGCAAAGAGTTGCCACCATAAAAAGTGTCTGGAAATGAATATGGTTTGTAATGTTATTCCGAATAACATATTAAAAAATTACGCTTTATAAAATAACGAAAGTTGGCTGTTATTTTATACATCTGTCCCACCCGCTACCTCCCGAAGCCACGTTGACTCGAATTTCACATTTTCCCATTGTTCTTAGCTATGATCAAAGTATACTTCAGCAAACTTTCAGCTTTTATAAAATGACGAAGGTCTGGATGTCAAGGGCTCTTACATTATATACTGTCAATCTATAGAAATACCCCTAACCGCCCGAACCCATTTGAAATACTTTAATTTATTTTCTATATGAATTAGATGGTGTTGTTGTAACGGCAGAAATTCTGCCTAGCTGACAGTCCTTGGCCGGATAAAAATCCGGGTCCGTTCCGGTTTTCGTAGACCCGACTGCCGTGGGAACGTTTCGATCAAATCGCATGCTTACGAAAAATATTATAAAACACTTATATGTATATTTATCCATACATACCTTTTCTATAGCACTGTTAAGCTTTCCGGTTATTCTCCTGCAAACATTAGGCGCTAAAGAATTTGATGCCTGCGGAAGTTCCAAAATAACTGTTTTCAAACCAATGCTGGATATATCGCGAAGTTGTTCCACGTTCGATATCATATTTAAGCAAAGGGAATCCACAATAGTTTCAACTTGGCCCTCCTTTACTTTGTTTACCAAAGGCCCTAAGCACTTTACCGCCAAATTTTGTACTTCGCCATTTTTATCTTCCAATAGACGTAATATCATACGTACAACCTTTTTTTCAGATTCATCATCGAGCTTAATGCTATCCTTTTGCAATTCCGTCATTAAATCATTTGTTGCCATAAAACGAAAATCCTTGTCACTAGAAGTCATCTGAAATCAAACATAATTCTTTATACATATATACTAATGAGAAGTTTTGGTTTTTTACTTTTTCCAGTAAGCTGGCTATTTGATGATATTGATACGACATTGTTTCCAAATATAATTATTTAGAAGTTATATTTAGTGAAATTATATCTGTTTAAACCGGCACATAAAATACAGAACTCGAACGGATAACACAAATCACTGATCTACCAGAAAACAGAACTATTGCATGAATCGATACATTAAGCGATAATAGTATTAGGTGTATTTCACAGTGAAGTGCTGAACACACAGAGCGCGACACGAAATGACAACACGACAGTAAACTGTAAATGGCGTCGTGAATCCTTCTTGATCAGAATCTCTTTTCTTTCTCTCTCGCTTGTCAGCTGGCAAGGCACCCTGATCTGTTTTCTAACAACAAAACACAATCAGGGTGCCGTCAACCAGCAGTTAGTGAAAAAGGCGRGATGCCAGAAGAGGAGCGCTATAATTACTTGACGAAATTAGTGTGAAATAAAATATCATTGATCTGTGCGAACATATTTTGGCAAAATAAATGTTTATGTAAATTAATTAATGATTTTGCATTTTAGCATTTATATATGTATGCATTTCGAAAGTGTTTAATTAGTGTTTTGTATAATTTATTAAATACCCAAGCTAATATTTTTCAGCAGTGGCTTCATTGTCAAATGCTGTAAAAAATGCTAGTTTTGACAGCTCTCTCTCGAACCAAAGAGTCTCGTATCAAGTTATCTATGCTAGATGAACATTTGTAAGAAGGCAGCAACATACAATGGACGACATATACACAAAATAACACAGCTGTCCATTTTGCATGAACACAATTTCGTCGTGGCCATACTAGTACCTTTCACCTCAATTAAACTTTAATATTTTGTTCAAAGTGAAATTTTTTATGAAAAAATAAGTAAATAGGTAAATTTATTTATAGTAACGTATGCCACTAGTATACTTAAGAGAACTGATTTTCCCACTCGCTATGAAATTTATCAACTTAAATTACACTATATATATGTGTATATAATATATATGTATATATTTTGGTGATTCACTTCACTCCCGTCACTTGACGGTTTTAATAAACAGGGAAGTTGCGTTGGTTGTTGCGGATAAAATGAAGAAAACTAAATATCACGGACGACTGCTTTACGAATGAAACGGTAAGAGAGCGATCCCGGTCGGATCAATCCCTTTTGAAGGTTTGGGTGGTGAATAGTTGCTGATTACGTGTCGTCTCGTTGATAATCGTATGGTTGTTGTGTTGTAGTATTAAGCGGTGTTAAGTACTATGTTTGATGCGTGTGTGTGTAGTGGTGTATGCTGTGAACGGTTGTGTGACGAGGTGTTGAGACGTTACGTGATGTTATGAGATGTGATGTAATGTTGTTGTTGTTGTTGTTGTAACGGCAGAATTATGCCGAGTTGACAGTCCTTGGCCGGATAAAAATCTGGGTCCGTTCYGGTTTTCGTAGACCCGACTGTCGTGGGAACGGATGTGATGTGATGTGACGTGAGGTGATGCGATGTGGTATGTTGCAGAACGACAGTGGCTAATTGCATATCAGAAGGGTTCGGGTTAAAAACACAAACTATCTCCACAGAATCGTGGGACCCTACCATAGTAACTATTTGTGCAGAAACACTCCATGAT